ATGACCTAATTTTGACCGTAATGCTAAGTATTTATACGCAGATACAATATTCCTGCATTCACCAAACATTTCTATTGCCTAAGCAGAGTTTAAAGTGGTCGACTAGCAGTATTCTCAAACTCATTGCGTTCTTCTAGAAAATTGAAGTTCTTTGGTCTCATTCAACATGGAATTTCCGCTTTTGTCTGCCGCTAGAAAAAACGGTTAATTTAATTTAGGATAAAAGATGGTCTACTTTACTTTCCGCTTAGTTATCGGACGTTTACTTGCTTCCCTTGCGTCTACTTTATGATAAAGCATTTATTTTTTATTTACCTTTGTTCTGCTCCTGCGCAAATTTGTGCATTTTGAAATGTTAACTATTACAGTAATTCTTCCGCTTAAACCTTTAAAATGAACGTATAATTAACTGCAAATGCAAAAAAGAGTTAGAGCATATTTGCTTCAAGTGCAAACGTAGCCACCCCACATCTGCTTCTAGATTTACCTGTCTGAGGTTCACAGTAGTCAACAGTGAAACCGTCAAGCTGCATAACCTCCAAAGGTTCGGACTTCTTTTCCTTGTAGGAGGCCATTATGAAGGTGTACTGCGAAACCTGTGAAGATAAAAGAAAATTAGTCCTGATTTGAGCTTAGTTTCCGATTGCTGTTCAGACGTAAATACAGTTTTTTTTGTGTGTGTGCAAGCCCCTTTGTTTTTGCCAATTTGTCTATAACGAAATATTCAGCCATATTTGCATGGGAGGCCATACTATTCACAAGAAGGATATACGACTACTGGAACAAGAGTTTTATTGTCTTGACGTTTCGGACTCCCTCGGGAATCCTTAATCATAGTTAATGGTAGGATAGTCTGAGCCATGCGCAAATAGGGTGAAAAAATGCACAGCTTGCACGGTATTTATAGTTCATAGAGGTCATCTGCGTGCATACGGTAATTATCCATTTCTGTGACCACCACTTGGAGTATTAATTGGTGCGGTGCTGGCTTGACACTTTGCGTTCGACTCATTAATTGCCGTGATTTCCTCGTCTGTGTTGGATGCGGGCTTTGTAACTGCGCGACAATTATGCTCGTTGTTGTCCGACTTCTTGTTGCTGGGCCCAGCCCTTTCAACGTGACTGATTATCTTGTTCAGGCAATGTCTCAGTACGCAATATGGAAACGCCAAATCGTTGCGCTTAAACACGAACGAGGAAATCACGGCGATTAATGAGTCAAACGTGAAGTGTTAAGCCAGTACCACCCCAATTAAGACCAAAGCGGTGGCTACAAAAATGGGTAATTATCGTACGCACGCAGGCGACCACTATAAAGTATAAGTACCATGCAACCTGCGTATGTTTCAACCCCATTTGTGCATGGCTCCGACTAGCTTATCATTACTTATTATTAAGTATTCCCGATGGAATCCAAAACGTCAGGACAATAAAACTCTTGTTCCAGTGGTAGTATCTCCTTCTTCTGAACTGCTTCCCGCAACTCGCATATTCACTTGTATTCGCAAGCCAATCGTTTAAAGAGTTTTTGGCAAGTGCACCAAAGTGCACTGAAATTATCTGATTTAACAAACTTCTTTGTTTCTTTTAAAATTTCCTCCTAAACAATAAATATGTTCGGTTATCAATTTCAATAGTAGTGTACTTATGCCAACCCAGAGAGTTTTGATAAAATACAGGACTTTTTGTATTTAAAATAACCATGTGCTAGACGCTACCGTGTATATGCATTTAGTTATCTGAACGGTAATTCTAACATTTGACTACTTTGCATGTTCTAAGCTACATGTATTCCATACTTAAAAACATAAGTTACCTGAATCAGACATATGAACCGTTTTTTCCACTTCCTGAAGGCAGCGCGACCAACCGCATAACAGTATCCACAGTATTTTAAATTATTGGGTTTGTCCATGCGGATGACAAGTTGCATCTGCAATTCGTCAGGACAGTTTTTCGACGACTGCATTTTGTACCACTCTTGTTGGCGATTGTTTCTACAGATGGGATTAATCACAACCTAGGGTGGAATTTTAAAACGGAACATGCTTAAAAATACGAACAAGTCCTAGTTTTCGATGAGTACTCTGCTCAGGGAATTTGGAGGGTAAATGCATGAATTCTGAATAAGGGCGAGGGTTACATGTAAATATCCGTAAAGGTATGTAACAATAACGCAATCATTTAGTTCACGCGTATTGTCGTTACGTATAAAGAGCTCATAAGCCAACGCGCTTAAAGCTAAAAGACGCAAAAGGAAGTTAGTTAAACCTGTTATTATGCGACCAGAGATTTAAACATCCTAATAGCCAAGCTTGATAAATTCGTTGCATCCCCCTGAACAAAAAAGCGTTTCATATTAACTTACTGCTGAAGAAAATAATTGGCTAATCTCAAGTAGAAGAAGAATTAATGCGACATTGTTGGAAGCACATTGGAGTACTTAATTTTAGACCATAAACGTTCTACGATTAGTTTGCAGATATTTACATACATTACTGCACTTATAGGGATATATCGTAAAAAATAAATTTGTACTTAAATACAACTGGTAAGCTTTTATGCCCAGAACCTCTCAAAACGTTAACGATTCAAAAATGTAATAGTATCCCTTGGTAATTTTCAACTATACCAGGAAATTACCGGCAAAATATAAGAGATTTTAACGTTTTTGAGTCGCGCAAAAACATTGTTTATATCCATGCATCAGAGTATATTTCCCGTTAACAGGACGCGTGACTTAGCTTTTTTCATAGGTTTACTAGCGCACAACGCATTTAATGACCTGGGGCTGGAGTACCGGAAACCACTTTTCACAGAAACATTCGTTCTTTGCTGGGGACATGCAACAATCCATGGAACGTTAATATGAAAATTCAGTTTATTACATTGTGCAAAACTACGCATTAAAGAACTGCGACGTCTGTGTTCTAATCAGATAAAAACTTGCTAATTATATTCCGCAGATAAAAGGAGAGTCACAGACAGAAGCTCGTCTTCCTTTTCAAATAACTTTTAATGGTCCTTTCATCTTTTAAATTTAATAAAACCGCAAAAGGATGCACTAATATATATGACAAAAAGTTATTGCTCACACTAATTCTCGAATAAAATTAGTATTCTAAATCGATTACCTTTGCGAATTTTTTCAAGCTTAAAACTCAGAGAAAAATTGTGATATCCATCTTTCACCTGCTATAAGAAAAAGTCTAACATGGACGAGGAAGTAGGATTTGGCTGTCAACAGTCCTAGCTGTCAATCTGTTCTTCATTCTCAAGGATGGGTTTTTCCTAAAATATCCTTGCGTTGTTTTTGCTAAGTTGTCATTCGTTTCCTTATACGGGCAAGCATAAGTTTTCCTGACCGACATATGTCTGTCATTCTTATAATTGCAACTGCATACCATCGAATTTGAATATTTGTGTTATTCGTGCTAAATAGAAGGGTAAATGGGGAACTCAGAAGCTAAAAGTCTTCAAAATAGCCCTCAAATACAAAACTTTGGGTAAAAAAATTAATATAACATCAAGGCATTTAAGCCATGTTTTGATAGAATGCCAGGTTCAGGCCTGTCTAAATTTCACGCTGTAGTCGTTTGTTTTTACATGTTTGCCTATTTTCGGCGTACCGCTCGAGAATAGCCAAACCCTTCATCGCTAAAGAAAACCATGAAAGACCAACTAGTCTGAGATATAAGGATGGAGTTTTATTTTATAGCATAAATGCGGAAGACATTGAACCACATGAAAGTGAAATCGCCAGTTCTCTTTTGCAGAGTCGGAGACACGTGCCGTGATTATTTTATCACTGACCGTCGCGTAGGCCAGCGTCTTACCAGTGAGTCACCAGCTACCCTGCTGGTTGCGCTCGGGCATATTCTCGATCGTGGTAAAGAGTTTTTTCTGAACCAAAAATGGTAAGTCCAGTCTACTTTGTCTCAGCTGCTACCACTCGTCCTGTATAATAATTGGTCGCTATGCGAATGCTTCTTATGGTTCTGAATTATGCACATAGACGCAAGGAGAGGGGGTGTATCTTGTATCCTGCTCTGTGAACGTCCATTTCATGATATTATAAATATTAATGTTAAGTTGTGTCTTTTCTCTTCGAAGTCAACAAGGTTGTCTGTGCAACTCTCAACGTCTTCATAAGTTAAAACAATTGTTATAAAATAAATAACATGATATAATAAAATTAATATTTATGTGCTTTACTTACACGGGCCAGCTCTTTTCCGGATTCAAGACTCAGGAGACTGGAAACTTCTGCGTAAAGTTTCACCTTTACTACAGGAAGGGGACTGTTGGTTACGAAATCGCCTTGGGTTCCCCACCTAAATACCAAAGATTATTACAAGAAGCAATAAGAACTCATGTTCAAATAGTATTAGGGTTAATGTTTGGTAGAACTTTGGGTTCCGGAAACCAAAATAATCTGCCGGTGCTTCTTTCGAACGACCTGGGTGGACTAGGCAAGGTGGAAGTTTAATTAAGTTTCAAAATTGTTTTAATGATGTAATGTTTGGCAACAAAAACGCGCCATAAGTAGAGAAATACAAAAAGTTTTTTAATAGTTTATTTTATCTTCCTGTTTAGTTTTGGCTTTGTTTTTAGTTTATTATTCGTTTTTAACAGTCCTATTCTAGTTTAGAATGTCTCCTTAGTTTAGTTAGTGTAATTATGTTTCAGTTTATATTTCAGTTTTGTTTTAGATTTATTACTCACATGCAGTTACTTTTTGAGTGAAAATCTTTAATTGCTTACTTTGCCTAACATTAATTAGTTTGGTTTATTTAATTAACTCATACTCTAGTTTGCCTTTTAGTTTATTATTATTTTTTTAGTTTAGCTTATTTTAGTAAACCTTTCCTTAGTTAGATGACTTTAATTTAAGTCAGTTTTAAGTTTAGTTAATTTATCTTATTTAGGTTTACCTTTACTTTGTTAGTTTACTTTAGCTAGTTTACTTAAGCTATTTTATCATAGCTTGTAGTTAAGTTCTAGATTTATTAGTAGCATGTGGGCTATATTTTATTTTTTGGTTCACTTTTCCTTTCTCTTTACAATTCGTAGTGCTTTGTGTTGTTCGGCAAATTTGGGCAGTTTCCTATCTTTGCGTATTTGCATATTTTACTTATGGCACGCTCGTTTTTGTCAAACGTTAGATTATTGAAATAAATATTCATATTTTGCTACTTTTATAAGTTCTACTTTTTATTTAAGTTTCCTTCCTCTGTAATGCCCAAACTGTAAAATTTTAATTACTTCCTGCCCCGTATTACACAAAGATGGGGTTTTGGCGTGCCGTTTGGAGACCTAACTTGAACTTCCATTCTAAGCAGCTTACAAATTAGAGGATATCAATAGCCAACATTCTGCTCAAACTTGGTTTCTCAGAAAGCGTCATAGAGAAGTTCACTTCCACCTTGCCTGGAAAATTAATTAAAGGTTGCTAAAGTAAGATAGCCTGTGCTTTAAATGGAGAAGGTTAGCGCGCACACTGGTTGGAGCTATGAAAATGTTTTTGGTCAAAATTTGATTAAATGTAAGACGGTATGTTATCTGTGATGCAGGCTTAACAGAATGTTACCATTCCCCCCAAGAAACGACCTTCAGTC